TGGATGCCGGCTAACCTGACGGCAGCAAACCACTATCAGAGACTTTCTATCCGCCATGGCCTCCATGACGACTGGGTCGTTCACAGCAGCACACCGGCTCCTCCAGCCTCAGACCTCATATGTGTCATTGGCTCAAATAGTGGCCTGCTCCAAGTTCGTTCCAACGAGAGCCTCTCAGCCATTGCCCCTAGTGTCACCCCCAAGGGCATGGACCTCCCACAGGAGATATTTACGCAGGACTTTCAACAGGGGAATCACAACGTACTGTTTGCAGGTGGGCGTCAACCAAGGCTCTGGATAACCGACCTCCGAGCCCCTGAGGCACGATGGTCGTTTGCAAAACACACGAGCTCAATATCACACCTGAAGAGTGTGAATCCGCACCAGGTCCTCGTCTCAGGGCTGCAGAGCTCAATGGCTCTCTATGACGTGCGGTTTCTGACACGGAACCCCAGGGGCTCCAGGCAACTGCTCAAGTTTCAAGATCACCATAACGAAGCGCACTTTCACATTGGATGGGATGTTAGCCCGGATCTCAACGTCGTCGCCGCTGCACAGGACAACGGGACCGTGAAGCTCTTCTCGCTTAAATCTGGACGGCGGTTGCGGTGTCCCGGCGTGGACTCGATCAGTGTCGACTCACCCATCAAAGCGCTCATGTTCCAGCGGATGCCGAGAGAGAGGCTGCCAAGCTTGTTTGTAGGAGAGGGGCCGTCACTAAGAAAGTTTTCGTTTGGGGCCGTGAAGTGGGAAGATGAGGTTTAATAACGTAGACGTATTATACTTGATATACTACTGAGGCTATCTATCATAAGCAAATCTTCGTCAGCTACTGAGACGATTATAGGTAATACCTCATATGATATTACTCTAATTCCCTTTCTAGTCACCACTGCTCCTAGCATACTGGTCGGGAATTTGCCACGAATACAACATATCACTCTTTCATGGCGTCGGTGAGCATATGCCTGTTTCAATGGCGAACATGTCCTATGAGCCGGACGGTGTGAGTGACACTCGATGGTTTGGTAAAGTTCAAGATTCAAGCTCAACTCAAAAGGCTCTCGATTATCCGGTAGGGGCGATAGAATTTAGTTCGTCTTCTGTGAATATGACGTTGGGTTTTCTATCGTCGAAGGCCGCCTCTCGGCATCTCTTGATTTGTTTAATCTCGGCTATTCTCTGTACTATTGTTGAAACGTGTATGCCTAGGGTCATCTGTGCTTCGTTATAGTGTGGTGTCTTTGTCTGGTATGGGGGGAGGGGGGCAGCATTGATGATTACACCTGCATGGGTTCGAGGCTTCGGGTATGTCGGTAGGGGAGCGGCTCCCCATAGCCCTGGCGGGCAGAGCCTTGATAACAATACCCTTGATTGGATAGTTTTGTATATAATATCTTGAAGTTCATCTTAACCTTGATAATGATAGTGGCCGCGATGGCGATGGTAATAAAGAAGGGAAAAGGAAAGAAAAAGGGAAGCCAGATAAAGGCAAAAGTTGTTTAAATTGAATCAATGGCAGCGATTCGCTACTGACAGACTTCTGGGTATTGGGACTGTTATGAACTGACGCGAAGGTGACTGATGCTTGATGAGCAACAGGTTTGACACTGCCAAACCCTGTGACGTTGGTAGAAGTGATGACTTTTCTAGCTCACCAAACGAATATATTAATAGAGTTTCTATTCAAGATCATAAAAGCTGTCTACACTGTTTGATACCGCTAATCTGGTAAACATCTGCAAGAAATGACCTCATTCTTTCGTGTCGGCCCTTGACACTGCAGGCTGGCTGGTCATTGCTGCTGCCACTTCCCACTCACTGCTCTTATCCAATACCTATATTATATCACGGGCAGGTTTGTATTCTTACCTTCTCAAACCATCTTCTTCCACCTTCCTGTGGCATCTGCCTCAGCCATAGCCGTTGGATTAATTTCACCCTTCCACAGACACACTCTCTTTTCGCCTTCTTGGCTTCGTTTCCGCCGCCGGCCCATAGCGAAAGTAAGCTTCGGGTTATCAGGTGAGACACATAACTGGGTACTAATCCTGACCGTAGATGCAGTTGAGTGCTGAAATTCAGCCTGGGCTGACTAGGACATCGATGTACTGATGCCCCCAACCACTGCCTCCTTTTCGGACGCTACCGTTTTATCGAGCACATTATTGAGATCTCCGAGGAAGATACGGGGCGATAGAATTGTAAGGGTGGGTATCAAGAGTCAGCTTTGGGCTGACAGGAGCTTTCTTGGTCTACTCTATGGATTTGAGTCGCTGAGCGACAGAGGTAGGGATAGGGAGGAGGAGGAGGACAACAGTAACAACAAGAAAGGCGAGGAAGACGATGAGAGTGACGAACAAGGGAAAGACCAAAATGAAGATGCCAATGACCAAGAGAGTGATGACGGCGACAACGTGAGGGAAGAGAAAAGGGATACTCGAAAAAATCGATTTTGCTGGAGCATTTCATGCTCACTGCTGTCTCGTGCGATCGACTGCCTCAGTTCATGACGGACTGGCGCCTGTACATCGTCGCCAATGGAACGAAAGAATCCAAGGAAGGACTACATCATCTATCAACGCATCGATCTGTCTATATACTCGCTTTATAGTACCATCTTGGCCAGCCCGTGTGGTGGCCCACCATGCTTGTTTCGACCAGGCCGAGAATCGATCCTACTAAGTAAGGAGAGCGATGATACAGTCACTTATCGGAAAGCATACATTACATATGTGTATAATGGTAGCGGAACGTCGATTCACCTCACTGCTCCCCTGATTGGTGTGGCGGCCACGATGGTAGGCCACCATAAGATCTTGCTTGGTCCCGGGGCTGAGGAAATCGCGAGTCGACGCCGGGAGACACAGACCTTCTCGGCCAACGCTATCCTCCTAGCCTATGAGCTGTTGGCGCGCTCGGGAGGGCTTTTGTTCTTGCCCAGCCAGCGGTTCCTGGCCAACATGCGCGACCCAATCCATCCGATATCCGGGACTTGTGCTGGCCGTTTAGCCTGATTTCTTCAACATCTCACTGTGACTTTTAGAGTGACCACCTCACAGCATTATAGAGCAATTACCTAAGGCGCAAGAGAAATTAATTGATGAATTTAGAGTATTCCTTTCAGCTTATTGCTGAGGCGCATGCAAGACAGATATTCAACCTGAGAGGAAAGAGAAAACGAGCACCACATGCAGACCAGACTCCTTTCAGCATAGTTTTTACTAAATAGGCAATTAGTCCAGCTGGGGCGTAACATCCACGGATGGCGCAAGTAATACAGAGCTGGTCATGGAGCCCATCCAACTATCAAGGGGTTGCGGGAAGTAATGCAAGGTCTCGATTGGTCAGGAATCTTCCTCGCTTCATGCCGCCTTTTCGTTAGGTCACACTCTCTCCTTTGTTGTCGGTCATCCCACTGCAAACAGCTGTCGTTGGCAAATTAGTTTATGTTACAGGTGACATATCCTGTCCAATTACGCAATGACGTGCCTAATTTCCCGTCTGGTTGGGAACGTTACTATGCAGTATGCCGCCCAACGCTTCTTGATTAATGTTGAGGGCGATTGTTTGCTGCCTTAGTGTCGGTCGTTTACACTGCAGGCCGGAAGGCTGTTGTGATAACTCACGAAAGTGAGGGCAGCTGATTCGTCTTCCATTCTGACAGATCATTGATTGACTCCCTCTGGTGTTGTCCCGGTTCTTTCCCCGGGCCACCCATCCCTGTTGGAAACACTTGCATCAAACTAACGGACAAACGCCCTATGGTTCACGGCTGAGCTGCATTGGACGTGGCGCACGGCACATGGGACAGCCTTGGAAGACTCCCGGCTGGATTGTCCAGGAATGGACGCCAGCAGCGGTCTCACGGTCCCCAGCAGTCCCTCCGTGCAACACGGACAAGTTATGATTCAACTGGGGCCATCAAGTCTCAGCGGCATGTAAATCACTCTCCATCGATGGACACTCTTGATAGATTTGACGTTAACTTGGAAGCACCACTCTTAGGTCGCACGGCTATAGCAAGAATGGATCAAGACAGTACCATGTTGACGAAAGTGCTGCTCATGTAACCACTGAACCATTCTGCCGAGGAAACTCTTTTTCATAAAGCGATGATTACATACATGGGGAAACACCAGAGCCGCGGCGAATCGAAAGATACGGACGGTTCAAAGCTCGCTCGTCGGCCTTCTGTTGCTCCCTTGAGGGAGCAGGGCAGCAGAATCTCCTTGGTGAACTACCGCTCTTACAATCAACGAAAAGAGGATCCGTTGAGATCCAAGAAGGCAACGTTGGGGAATGGTGTGTCTGTACAACTGAATGCCAGCTTCGCGAATGTGGCAGAAAGATACAACGGGGCAGAGAAGGAAGAGTCACGCTTACATCCCGGCAAACAGCCGTCCTGGGATTTCTTTGAGAGATGCAGTGTGGGCCAGCTCCGATGCAGACTGTCGGTGAAGTTATCCGTTTGTTGGACAACTATGCATGTGTTTCTCAAAGAGGTGGGTAATACACAGAGACAAACGCCCAACGACACAACTGACCGATCGACGATTCGATCCATGGCATAGTTGAGAGAACAACTATTGACGAAACACTATGGGATCTGGATTCATCGGGTTGACGAGACTACTATGCGTAGTCTCTGCTAACTAGGTACCCAATAACGTAGTGCAGGCAGAAGACCAGAACGTCTTCGTTTAACACTGCCAACCGGGTGGTTACAAACAAAAGCTCTTCGCCAGTGGAGACCAAGCTCTTTCATTGATGAGGTTTCCCCTTCCCCTTCTTGCACTAATATCTTCTACCCCCTCCCCCATTCTCCTTTGCCTTCTTACATCGTCTTCACTCAGATCCTCTTCTTACCCTCCTTCTATCCTCTTCCTACTCTCTTCATACTCTCTGCCTGTACTCTTCCTATCCTCTTCCTACCCTCTTCCTGAGATCTTCGTATTTTCCTCATATTCCCTTCCATCTCCTTCCTATCCTGGACATCGATGGCGCCTATGGATGAACATCTCATTGCCGATAATGGCGACCACATGGATATTGATATCCCTGGCGATAGTAATAGGGATCCTATGGATGCCGATGGCGATGGAAACGATCAGAACAAGAATAACGACGACAGCGATAGCGACAGCGATGTTGATGGCAGTGATGACGGGCCTCAGTACATCTTCTACGATCGTGTCGATGAGAATGACGAGACTGATGACGACGGAATTGGATCCGACTGCGATGGCGACGTTGAGGAATTCGGCTTCGATAGCGAATTTGAAATCGACTTCGAGAGCGACGCTGATAGCGATAGCGAGGATGAGGATGAGGATGCCCGATCCGCCCCCTATATTGATATTGGAATCGGCCTCGATGGTGACCCCGATGGCGAACCTGAAGCCGACAGTGATGGTGACATCGTTGTCAGCGATGCCAATGGCAGCGAGAATGACAACAGCGGTGCCGATGTCAACGCCAACACCGAAGCCAACAAGAAGGATGCAGACAAAGATCCGGAACCTCGTGTATTCGACCTCCAAAAGGCCCTTGACAAGATGTCCAGCATTGACATGGGCGATGACGAGGCCGTTGAGAAGATGATTGGGGATGCAATTAGCCCCTCGGATCGCCAGTCCATGGAGATGAGTCAGGAAAAGATGGACGGGATTATATCCAAGCTACCAGACAATGCTGAAGGACGTAAGTGCTTTCTCCGTAGCCTGGATGATGTGTGTACTAACCAACCTTTGCAGTCGACATGGTGGAGAATGAGCCCGAGGTCAGGAGATGTATAGAGAAGTATCGAGAACGACTCCGATTCTTGATCATGTGGCTGGCGAGGTTGATGCTCGCGATTGGCGACTGCAGCAACGTTCCCCAGGACATGAAGCCATGGGTCATCTTCACCGTGGCTAACGCCTCGGCGGAGTGCCGGGAGCGACTCCTCAACGTCCTTACCCAACCCGCAATTCATCCCTTGCACTATCAATATCTTCTCGGCAAGGACAGATGGACGCCGGATATGTTCAAGGGCGCCCCGAAGATCGACCTGAAGAATCCCGACGAGGCTGGAGATTGCACATCGACTTACCTTGACATCGGGCGACGCGAGGACGGCACATACTATATGTACGTTGGCAGCGCATCAGGCACGAATCCAACTGCCGGTGCTATCGGCGAGGGAGTTCGAATGCGCGTCCATCACACAATCCTAAATGCGGGCCTCGACGCTGTCCTAAGAGAACGGCAGTCAACGGTGAGGACCAAGGGCGCTCAAGCCCTCTTGGTGCATGAACTGTTCGTGCAATGCATCGAGTACTCCTTCATGGCTCTCTTCCGCTTCCCTATTGACATGGAGGACCCGGTCTACCCCATGTGTGCGGCGCTGGCCCCTGTCGCAGAGAACCTCATGATGCTGTTGCTAAACAGCTTGACCACCACGCGTGTCCCACGACACAGCCGAAACGTGAGATACCAGGCCATGAGCCAAGCCTTTTTGGTGGCCCTCAGCCAAGAGGTGGTTTTCCCAGATGGCGGATGGGTTGGTGCCAACGTGGTACTACCCATGGTCCAGACTACAGCAGCTATCTGGGCCCTTCGCCGCAAGCACCGCCGGCTGGTGCTGTCGCCCGAGCTTGAGGCCAAGCTGAGGAAGCGTTTTGACGAGACAAGGGACTTGACACTTCTGCCGAAAGAGTGCCGCGGCCTTCTCGCCCTGGAGAACGCATCGGACACAGTGGCGAATGTGCAGGCCCTCCAAGCTCTGTATGCCGCCATCCTCCGGGAGCACAACAAACAATTTCTGACGTCCAAAATGCTGCTTTTCAAGAAGCGTTGCATCCTCGTCTCAGCCATGATCGAGGAAGCCGAGCACGAGAAGCTAGCGAACGGCCCTCATGCCGACGGTTACTACCGCCTCGACGTAAGCCTCCTGAACTGGGGCCATGTATCGCAGAGGGCTCAGGACAAGGCGGGAGAAGAGCTGTGCGGGTACTTCACCACCGCAGCTGACTGCCGCAATCTATTCAAGGGGGGCAAACATGACTTCTACAAAAATGCGATGCATGAGAAGAACTGGGAGGCTCTTCGACGTAAGTTCTCTTGGATCAACTCACCCCCATAGGGTTCTCACTGACATATCTCATACAGGGGGTGTTCCTGAGACACTAGAGAACATCAAGACCGAGCCATCATACCCGCTTCCCATTAGAAAGAGGCTTCGAGAGATTTGCCAGGCCATTGTCTACCAGCACCTGGCAAAACAAGGGTGGATCGAAGAGACTCCAACGAAAGCCCAACTCGAAAACCGTCAGGTGCACAACAAAGAGCGTCTACTGATTCCTATTATCAAACGGCTCAAGCAAGACGTTGGCCTCAGCACCTCAGTGAAAGCCGCAGACGGGGTTTGGGACAGCGAAACGTTGAAAAGCAGAGTTGTCAACATGATCTCCCGAGTCATCAAGGATCTCAAGGCTGGCTTGACTCGATCCGATGCCGACCTATGGGCCAACCTGAAGGAAGTCGACTCGAAATGGGCCGAGCCTCAAGCCGCCGCCACAGACATCGGCATATTGCTCCCTGAGCTCCCCCAGCAACCCATGCGCCAAACACCCCAACCATTGCCTCCAAGCAATGATGACCACCAGGACGAAACCTTCCAGTTGCTTCTAAGCAAACATGTCAGCCCAGACAGGATCTGCAATGTCAATCAGCGTGCACGGCTCTACAACGAAGGCAGGGCCGCGGACGACACTGTGTTGCTTCCAGACGATATGCCAGCCCCTGGACAAGTCCCGTTCAACCTCTGTGGCCCCGATGGGGAACCTCTACCGGAAAGAGGGTTCACGTGTGAATCCCTCGAACCGCAGTCTCGGCACGGCCTAACACCAAAGCTTGCTCAACGCACCGGTGGAGTGAGAACCAAGTGCGATCATTGCGGCGATCAGTTCAAGCTCAATCCCATGGCAATGCACATGTTCCATTGCCGGGGCAGGTGCAAACCCTGTGAAGATGCTGGTGAGGCCTGTACTCGCGATACAGGAAACTCTCAGGTGTGTCAGCGCTGCCAGAGCGAAGGTACAGAAAGCGAATGTACGGGTTTCTCACGTGCAGGAGTTAACCCAAGGCCCATGGCAAGGTGCCCCAGATGTGGTATCTTCAAAACTCACCTCATGGCCCACAAGAGGGAGTGCATGGGGCGGTGCCGGAGCTGTGTCCGCCGTCGCATTGCATGCGACAAGAGCGAGAAAGGCAGCCGTCAACATCAAAAGTGCCTAGGCTGCGAGACTGGTAACTTGCGATGTGGCAATTACTCACATCCGAGAGAGAGAGTTGTCGGCACGTGTGTGTTATGTGGCGTACACAAGAAAAACCTAAGGAGGCACTTGAAAATATGCAGAGGGAAGTGTGGGCAATGCGACAAAGACAACAAGGCCTGCGAACGTGACAAGGGAGACAATCAATGCCAGCGCTGCAAGTGGAAAGAGTACGAGTGCGGCAACTGGACGCACGAGAAGGTCAAGGAGTGCCCGGGCTGTGGCAATTTCATCAACAACGTCACATTCAGCCAGCATAGAAGAAATAATTGCAAGGGGAAGTGCAGCTACTGTCTCGACAAGGAGCTCCCGTGTGTTTGACCCAAAACATCGTGTAAGAACGGTTGCGCAGCGTGTCGAGAGAATGACAGGGAGAGCTTGTGTGATGGAATATGGAGACAACGAAAACCGTTGGGGGGGGCGCAGAAGAGGAAGAAGCCGCAGAAACGGAAGAAGCCGCAGAAGAGGAGGAAGCTGGAAGAATACGAGATGGAAGAGTGGGTAGGAGATGGGACGGAAACGGAAGATGAGGCAGAGGACGAGGAGTCGGAGGCAGAATACGAGGAGACGGAGGACGAGGACGAGGAGTCGGAAGAGTGGGAAGGAGATGGAATGGAAACGGAAGATGAGGCAGAGGACGAGGAGACGGAGGACGAGGAGATGGAAGGATATGTGATAGAGGGAGAAGATGAGATAGAATGATCGGAGACAGGAGCAGAGGAGACAGGGAGCTTACTTTCTCCTTTCTCCACGGAAGGTCGGGCGTGGCTAGTGCCCGTTCGGCCTGACATACAAATGACTGACCGAACAATGAACGAAGCGAAGCTGTGATAGGACTTAGGTATTTATCATCACTTACCTTAGGAAGAACACTTGATAGATGAGGATGAATTTGCCATAAAGTTCTATGAGAATGACGCCATGCCTATCATAAGTAACATCACAAAACGCACTTCTACCCAGGCTATGAGCCTCGTGGAACCTCTCTCGGGCCTCGTAGCCATCCTGAACTTCTCGACCAAGATTCCTCCTCAAGCAATGAAAAGCAATGATTGCTGAGGAGTTACCGAGTGTGACATGGCCAGTTGGTGTACCAAATCCACCCCTTAACAATGGCATCACAGCAAAATCTTGGAATCAATAATTTTAGATACCTTACATCCCTAATGCGTGCATACGTACGTGCATACCTACATACATCATGTCCAAAAACAAAACCCTCACCGCAAACTCCATGGCGTTGAAGCCCCCTGCCAGAATCCAGAGTACAAGTGATGATGATACAAACCCATTGGATGCATGCCGTTTCCCCCCCCTAGTGACACAGCTAAATAAAGCAGGCCGTGTGAAAGCCTAATCTGACAAACAGCTAACCTATGCACACGAGAAAAAAAAACCCTCACCCCCAAACGCCAGCAAAACAAAAACCATCAACCCATTACATTTTTTGTTGCCGTCCAATTACGGGCCCCTAGCGGCTGCCTGATGACAAAGGCCGCGCTGGGGACTGTGAGCTCAGGTTGAACGAGCCCACGAGGGTGGGAAACGCCTTGGCAAATGCGTCCCCCAGCTTCCAGTTGTCCAGGTTTCGCAGATGCCGCTCAAAGACGGGGTTGATCATGAGCTCATCGCCGTCCGGGCTCTGGAGCAGCGTGTCGGTGTCCTCGTAGGGCCAGGAGAGAGACAGTGTGGTCGTGAAGGGGATGAAGAAGTTGTCAAAGGGATACAGGAGGGGGTTGTGGTCACGCACGAGGCGGTCCCGCATCTTGGGGAAGGGGATGTGATCGAGCCAGGCAGCGTGGGCGACTGTGAGCTGCGAGGGACGAGGCGTCATCCACTCTGGGAGGCGGTCGTAGTTCTCCTGAGTAGGGGAGATTTGCCAACGCATGACAAGAAACATTATGTAGAGGACCGCGACGCGCTCGGGGAGCGTAGAGATATCGGGAAAAGTAGCGAGTATATCGGTAAAGACTTTAGACAGCGGGTGACTGTAGGCGCTGTTGGAAGGGTTGAGGAGTGAAGAGACGGACGGGTAGCGAGGGCCAACGACGTCTTGGACGGGAAGGCCGTCGGCGGCACGCTGGCGACGCTCGCTGAGAAAGTCGAGGAGGAGGGAGTCAAGAGGGCACGTCGGCGCGCAGTTCTTGATGGGGGCTGAGCAGTCGAGGAGGCTGGGGTCGCTCCGGGGAGGGGCGTGGCCCGCGGCAGAGCTCATTGCAGGACTATAACCAGGACTATGAGTACTTTCAGGGGTATGGGCGGCCGAGAGGGCATGCGGGTGCTGACCCTGATATTGCTGCTCCTGCTGGGGCTGTCCCGGCCTCCCCTGCGAGCCCCAGCTTGTAGACCTGCTGTGCAGGGCGCGCTCCTGTGAGACGCCTGTCCAGTCGTGCTTCATAGGCACGTGATGATACTGAGGCGTGTCTTGGGCGCCGTTGATGCCATTCTGAATACGACCCACCCGTTGCGCCGGGTCAAGGAGAAAGTCTAGCCCCAGACGCTCAGGGCCAAGCTCAAGCCCGTGCCGGAGCTCATGTCGTTGTTGGTTCAGCTGGCTGGTAGCGTGAGATTCGCTGGTGGGGGTGCCAGTAGGGTGATGAGGTGGCGGCTGCTGAGGGTGCCAGTGCTGAGAATGACTCTGGCCAGGAGGTGGCTCATGACTTGGAGGAGAGGCGGCACTGCAGGGTGTTGAAGCAGCGTTTGTGTTGGCATTGTTGTGGTTGCTGTGAACGCTCAAAGGAGGCTGATGATGTGCCGGAGGGGCATAAGTCTGAGCAGGTGATATATACGCCTGTTCAACAGCACCTGTCCTGCGCGTTAACCTCAAAACTCAAACTGGAGGACCATGGGGAAAATAAACTTACCCTGGCCGATGAGCGGCTGCAGCATGGCGACTATGCCAGCCAGACGACGCTTGATATCGGCATTCTCCTGCTCAACAACCTCCTTTGCGCGGAGGACAGCCTGGAGTTCCTGGTAGGGCTGCTGGTTTGTGAGCTCCTGGATGCGGCGCTCGAGCGTCTCAATCTGATTCTTTGTACGCTCACGGATGGCACGCTGAGCCTCTCGATCTTGATAAAGTTAGCGACATGTCGAGCAACTAGTGAAACAGAAGGGATTCGTCGATCAACCACAACCGACCAGGGTGTAAAAGAAATCAATCTGTCATGATTGCAACACTCACCATTGGCTCTCTTCTTGGCCAACTGCTCAGGGGTCAGATTGGCAACCCCACGACTCCCCGGCCCCGTCTTCTTCTTCTTCCGTGCACTGCCGTCGTCCCCCGCAGCCGGAGAACCCACCACGTTGGCCGTCTCGGCATCCCGTTTGGCGCCAGCCCCATCGTCCGGACCACCACCACCCACTGGGGCGGGACTCTGCACCGATCCCGCTCCCGCCCCCGGCGTATCGGGGCCGGGACTCATTGGAGCACGACAGGACAAGGGACGGGACCAAAAAAAAAAGGGGGACCCCCTTCCCCTTGAGAGCTTGTGATTCGGGACTCGGTAGTTGGGATATGCGCGTGTGTGTGGAGAGAGAGGGGAGAAAAAAAAATGCGGGATGCGGCTCCCGCAGCTTGGGGGGGTGCGGGATATCCACCCCCGACCGCAGAGAGTTGAAAGAGAAGAAACAAAGAAACAATCGTCAACCACGACCGCGCTCCTTCCTTCCTTGGCCTGGTTCGTTGATCTCTTGACTCAGAAAAAAAAAGACGAACCTCGAGGATCAGATGGGGAAAGGGGAAATAACACGGGTATTGTTGTGCTTATGGGCCACCCCGGACACGACGACACACGCGCGTCTACCAGGCAGTTGAGATAAGAGAGGGGAAACCGGGGATAAAAGCAAGCCAAGGCTAAAGACCGTCGTACAGAGATGAATTTTTTTTACCGGGTCCGTGGAAACATTTCGCAGCTGGGGAGAAAGAGGCAGGTTGGGCCGGAGTCCCGAAGGGGGGAAGGTTGACTCATAAAGCCCAGGAGGTCCAGGTTGACACCGAGTCATGGACCCCCTTGGAGGCGCGGTCGCACAGACCACACGGTACTGTTCGTGCATCCCGGCAGACCCACGGGCTCAGAGTCCAGGCTGTCAGGTGACCCTCGCCCCCAACACCTCTACAGCAATGACGCCGAAACTCTGCTGGACAACAAGTTGGACGGGGATTTCCGCATCATCGATTGTTAAATATTGCGTAGACAGAGGTATGTAAGAATCAATCAATCTATTTCTCACATTGCCAACAACTACCTTATGCCGTCAACACTTGAAGATAGTGTTTTGCGCGATGGACAGGGTGGCTTAAGCCAGGGTCCAGCCCCCCGTTCTTCCATCCTGGTTGGTACACTTTACGACAACCAAACAAACTCATCATGGCACTCAACATGACCTCAGGCATGACCCCAATACATCCATATATACGCCTGTACAATTACTATGAGGCAGTGCGCAAAATAGCCTCCTTTCTGTCATCTCTTCCAGACAGTGTTGTATGCTACGTACCCAGGTACTACAATGCCCAATGTTGCATTCACCCTTGATCTTGCCCTGTCCTTGACCGTCCGGACACTCTCCGATATTGATTCCACCCGCCCGGTCTCCTCCGCCCACCCGCCGCGCTCAAGCCACACACGGCATCAGCCATATCCAACCATCACACATCTCGCAACTCCAGCCATCACTCGGCCGATGCCCTCGCAAGAGCCTCGTGCAAGTGCGGCGGGAACCGGTATCGCAGCTGGCTGGTGTAAGTCGTCAAGTCCAGCGTCATCTGCTTCAACTGCTCCACCATCAGCCGTCGCGTTCCCTCGTTGCCGCTGAACTGTCCACTCGTCAGCTGCTCCCGCTGGCGGACGCAGCAGATGATGGTCCACATCAACAGGTTGGGCACGTTGATTGAGACAGGCTGCGACAAGCCAGAAAACTTGGAGGCGTAGGCTCGGATCGTGCTGCCATCACCCGCTGCTTCCAGGGGCAGAATCTCGAGGCTTCGGATTTTCTATTCCTCATGTTAGCACATATGACGCTCCACTTCATCACTAGGTAACTTACGTCGAGGCATTGAGCCCACTGTCCGGCCTCTACCAGTCCCTTGATGCTGCTCATCTCCAGGAGTACCCGGCAGGCAACCTTATTCTGATCCTGGATTCTCCTGTAAAACATGGCGTCTCGCTCGTACATGCTCATCATGGTCCTGGCAAGCTCCACCGGGTCATCGATGGCCGCCAAGCTGAGGCTGCTGCCTACCTCCGCCTCTTGCTCACCAGCACGAGGCTTGACTGGCATAAGTCGCATTGGGTCTTCTCCGATCTCGATGGAGACAGCTTCACTTAGCGCCCGGCTGACAATGGCGACGACCGTGTCATATTCGCCGGCGAGATGGTACAGCAGCACCGAGTCTGTGGTGCGTCCGTTCTCGTCTGCGAAGCTGGCAGCCTGGAGTGTGACCGTGTTGACAAAGTCATCCTCAGCATCAAGACCGATGAGCGGGCCGCGCTCCTCAATAATTCCACGAATGCGCTGTCCGTCTGGTCGAATATCGCCAATAAGCTTGCTAAACTCACGGGTCTCCAGAACCAGCTCTCGCAACGCCTCGTGGCAGAGGCTACCGTGTCGCTGACCAGCCTCACCACCAAGGTCTCGGTTGAGACAGATCAGTGTCAGGTAGTCCACGGCAGACACAACATCCGCGGCCCTAAAGTCTC